CAACGCTTCCAGAGCACCCTGAGGAAAGGAAGTGATGACTGAAACGCCTGCAAATGGGCCACTTGTAAATACTTGTAGATCAATGTGTTGATACTGTAGATCTTCAATCTCCTATGTTGCTATAATGGGAAAAAAAGCTCAGTTACCACCGAAGATAAGCTGGGGAGGGAGGTTGGTGCTTAAATAGAACAGTGTGGTAACTTTGAGAGCTGTAATAACTGTTTAAAGCTTATTGCTGAGTGAATAGTATGAATAATAGGTTGTATTCCTATTATTAGTGGAAGGAGATGTTCCGCTAAGACTCAAGTTCTGCTGTTGCAAAAATCACCTAATGCAAATCAAATTTATCTCCGGGCTGAAGCTCATGTTGCACGTGCCACTGATTTATCACAAAAAGCAATATTTCTGTGGCACATAATTCTGGCTGTGTTCATAACATTAAAACTATTTGGTAACATGAATCTGCCCCACCAAATCCATGTTCACGTTCCTTTGTTGTTATTTATATTAAAAGGGGGAGCACTGAAGATTATTCACCATAGAAATCCTGCTTTTAGCGATAGTCACATGTTCTAGTCCATGGAAAGTTAAGTGACAGGAAGAAATGTACCCCACCTGTGTAAACACTAATACTGAGAATTGCGACATGTTCCTATTCTGGAAGAAAAAAAAAAAAAGAGGATTCCTAAGAAAAAACCCAAAAGTTCAGATGGGTCATTTAAAATTCATGAGCATCTCCCTTTCTCCTTGAGCTATAACTTGCTTATTTACTCATCATTATTTTTATTTATTTATTTCAGGAGACCATGACAGGCTCTCAGATGTTTAAATAAAGTCCTTGGCTTCAAACAAGTTAAACTAAGCAGTCAATTCATGAGCTTATTTCTTGTAGGCACACATGACATAAGGCATCATTTACTCTGGAATCTCTTTGTGAACAAACTACTGGACATTTCTTATAAGCTGTCATGAGAAATGAAAAAAAAAATCCCTAGTGTCTGATCATTATGAATCTTTCAATTAAAAAAGAAAGGTTTAAAATGTTGGGAGGGGTTAGAGACAGCTTGATAGAGGACAAACATGGAAGCTCTTTCACTGTAACTATTGGTGCCACTGATGCTTTGTTCCTTTTTGGTATCATCAACGTTTTATCAGTGTGTGACAGCCACTGCATCACGTTTTTCCTTGAATCAACTTAGCTTTAGATGTCCTTGTTTCATTCTTTTTTGGCAAAATAAAAACTTCTTTGTCCACTAGAGGAGAACAGCATTCTTGCAAGTTGCCCCAGGGAGCCACAGTGAAGAATCAAACAATATCAGCTTCAAGATATACTTTGTAGGAATCCTTTTCTGCTTTGCATCACATACCTGTACTAGGCATAATCAGCACAAAGCTGAAAGTCACAAGAAAAGACAGTTGCCTGATGTCAGCTGCAAAGTCTGTTTGACAGTCTTAGTCCAAAATATCTGTTTCAAATGGAACCAGATGATAGTATGACAAATTGGTGACATAAGCTGTTGGATCATCAGTGTCCTGCAGTTCAGAAGTAAATTCACTAACATTCTCAAACCTAGAAATGGATAAAACAAAGAACTGTCATTCATACTAAGACATATGATACAATAAAGATAAATTCTTCCTAGTGCATCAGCATAGAATAAAATATCTCTGAAGAGACAGAAAAATCACACACCATAAGGCACCTGGGGATACAAATCAGGGACTCTGGCATTATTGTCCCAGCATATTATTATGATCAACCCAAGGCAACCCTGACACAAGCGGAGATACTGGTCTATATTTTCTATGTTATAACACCACCAAGATAATAGCCAGAGGCAGGTACTATAATTCATTAACCAAGTCATATCAAATGATCTGGGGAATCAATAGGGGACTGGCTGATCAAATGTAACTGTCATTTCAAAGAGATTCCCTGGTCTGAACAATCTACAACAGAACCTGTATAAATATCACATGCCTATGGAATCTGAACATCTTCTTGATCTTGAATGCAAATCAACCTCCCTGATCTTTGCTCTCTGCTCTGGACCTTGTTTCCTGCCTGATTTGAATGATGCTTTTCTTTTTATTCTTTCCAAAAGACTTAGCAGCAGAGTGGGCTCTTCCTTAGGATACTAAGTGGTCTATGAGATGACCAAGAGCAACGAAGACTATCCACCAAACAGCTACAACAACGTAACTAAATCTATGGCATGACCCAAGCCCACTTAATCAGATATTCCTGAATCATGTTGCTCAGAGTCAAGATTTGGCACCTGTAATCACCATGCCAGAAAAAACTGATTCTCCTCTCCATGGCACAAACACAAAGCCCTATATCAGCTTGCCAAAGCCTAGAATAAATCATTGAAAAGGAATAGGAGTGATAAACTTCAAACCAAAAAGTTTCTTCTTCAAGACTCCACTCTTTAAGGAAGGGATGGAAGCAACAAAGTGCATTCATAAAAGGCTTTAGTCTACTCTTACCATTCATCAGAGCTAGTTGATCATTTGCACCATTCTTTGTCTCATCATCGGTGAAAACTGAGTTTAAGCATAAACTACCTTGGGATTTTGCTCAAGTCTTTTGGTCATGGTAATTCACTAGATTTAAGACCCTTTCAAATGGGCACAGGCCATAATTTTGCATATCCACAAAAGCTTCCTCAAATGATGCAATTGATAAATCACACAGAAATCTTGTATCCTGATTGAGTACTGTCCATGCATTTTAATTTACAGGTCACCACAACATGGATCTTATTTGTAAGTCAGGATGCTGCATTTTATTATGATTTGAGTGAAGAATGAAGGAAAGAAGTTAGCTACAAAGCACTTGAGCAATGAGTCATATAATTGAAGTCCAGATGTTCCCATCTCACTCTAGGTCTTTACACTTGGCAGAACCCAATGAAATTAGCAATTTTTTTTTTAACCACTAAAAATAAAAAAGGTGTCTCTTTGGCCATTGACTTTTGCAGCCCTGAAATACAAATACTGCTCTATAGATAAGGTTTTATTCCAGGGTGAATTCATCCAAATACAGAGCTTCTTGACAATGGTATATCAGCCATAAATTAACCCTTGGTTAACTTGATCTGAATGGATCAAGTAACAGTTTCACAAATGCCCAGGTAGATGTCACAAATTAGTTACAGAATAGCCTTTTGACTTGGTTCTGTGGCAGAGGCCCTCCACAAACAGTGCCTCAAGAAACCTTAGTATTTTTGAACATGGGCTGAGATATTTTTATAGAACAGTATTTTAAATATTTTCCAAATAAATCCATATCAGAGAGAATGTGTGGGACAGGAAACTGATCTCCATTTCAGTCATGGACAATTGAGGTTTACATTTTAGATAAAAGGATAGATAAAATCTGAGTGTTCTGCCCCAATCTCTTTTTTTGACATTCTACAAAAGTGTTATGCTTCCTGTATTTTAGATATGTTTAGTGGATGATGACTCATTTGCACATTTTCTGACCCACAATTTATATAATTAACTGATCATAACCTGAGTTTTATGTACAAGTGGATCATTTCAGAACTATCATAACTGCAGCAACAATATGCCATACAGATAAAGACACAGAGAGGAGAGAGTGCCACCTACTGAATTAAAAACATCTCTTTCTGAGGGACTCCTATTAGCTTATCTGCTTCCTCTTTAATTAAAAACCAAATCACCCTCTACCATTTCACAAGTCTGAAAATTCACCAACTTGGAGAAATATAGTCAGCATGTATTCAATCCTGTCTTTAGACTAAATGCACAGAAGTAGAACTAGCAGGCTAATAGTTTGTGATATGCAATGTGACTGCATGAGTTGACACAGGATCTGTTAAAATAAGGACATAAATACACACAGGTACACAGCTTCATGAGCCTAGTTCTAGCCTTGTAACAAACCTAATACAGTATTGATCCTTAGTAACATTTTTTGTGATTAATATTTTTTTCTCATTCTTCCATCCTGTTCAAGACTCAGTTTTTACACTCCAAATATTTAAACTCTTGTAAAATTCTGGCAGTAACACATTAGTCATCTGCCACAAGAGAATTTCCCAGGGCCCCTCTGTGACACAGTTCTGACTGTCATTCTATTATCCACAAAGATTGTATAAACAGATCTGGCTGCTAACCTACAAACCCGGCTCCTGGCATGATAAAGATAGGAGGAGAAAAGAAAATAACTGCCAGCAATTCCAGCTCCAATTCTGCATTGGTGGCACAGTCTCCAGTTCCTAGGCACGGGAGTCTGGTGGTGGGAGAGGAGTGAAAAGCCAATTCACCCTTGCTTTTAAAATAAGCAAAACCAGTGCATTATTTAATGCAGAGCAACCAAGGGGAAATGCCTAACTTAGAAATATTTCCAGAGAAAAAGGAAACGAGTCTTGAAATGGAAGCCTCTGGCTGCAAGGGTGGAAGGAGGTCTCCCTGGCATTCAGCAGGTTTGTAAAGGCTACCTGGAGCTTAAGTGGGTGAGTTCTCTGACCCATGTTAGATGGATCTGAGCTGCAAGAAACACATTGGCCTCTTTAATCTCTCACTGGTCCCCTTTAGGCTAGAGTACAGGAAAGTGGCAAAACACTATCATCCTCCTCCCTAACAGGTGTCCAATATTTTGTTTCTCAATTACACTCAACATGGAAAAAAAATGAGGAGAGGGTTTTATATCTACAGGTGAGTATGTACATCCAGGGATTGTGATTACTTACAAGTGTTCTGCTGAGTCAACATCCAAGTGCCTTTCTTTGCCGTTTGATATACTGTGATCGATAACTATCGTTTCAGTATTAGCTAAACAAAATCCATTAGAACGCATAATTTCTAAGGGGGGAAAAAAAGGAAAAGTGAAACATCACAAACATGAACTAATTCCTGAAAGGTAGGGGCATAAAAGCATGCTGAAAAATAAGTATATTATCACATTTCGGGGGTATGTTCTAGGGAATGTACAGGTCATCTCTTGGATCACTATTAAAATATCAGGAAACCCCAATTACCCTGAAATGCTTACTCAGGAGTAAGTTCCACTGACATAGGACTGCAGTCTTAACTTCTAAGGAAGACAACAATAATGTGGCTTTTCTTGACAATTGTTTAAAAACATAATCCCTGAAAAAACAATCATAATACAGATATTCTTGAGTGAAGGATGAGGGAGAGAGGAGGAAGAAACTATTGTACTTCCAAGCTCTGCTTATATTCCTGAAAAACGGGTTCAAAATTTTGTCTCCCCTCAAACTCTGAACACCAATTTCATCTTTATTTTATTAAGAATTAGGTCTTGCAGTCCATATTATTATTACCTTTCCACTAATCAAATTGTTGCATACATTCATCTTCATGAAAATAAATTAATATCAAGGCAAGAGGTGATAAATCTGGGCAGATTCTTTTTCTGTGTTTATCCCATACTTTTAATACACTATTTATGAGTGAAACATTTCTTAGGGGTTGTGCGTTTCTATTTGCATCAGTCAAAGGTATTTATGCAAACTTGGGAGTCCTGCTCCCTCAGTACAAGTAACTCAGCTGTAAGGTGATACAATCCAGTCGGCGATCCAAGTTAGAGACCTGATTTGATAGCCCAGTTTGAAATTTGATACTGCCAATCTCCCTCATTCATAGTTATTTGTCTTGGCACTTGTTTATTAGCTTGTCATCAACTCATATTGTAAACTTTTGAAATAAAAAAAATGACACTTGGTAAAATAGTCATATTCTGCTTTTTTCTCAGTTTTTGGCATTGAACAGGGAATTGAGGCCAAGTGGCCCACCAAACCCTTCCAATTCTCTAACCTGTTCTGTGATTCTCTAGGATCTTTATGACTTGTTTCCTTTCTGGGGCAGCAACAATCAGAGCATGAACAGTTCTGGGTCTTCAGTTGGTGTGGGAGGCTGAAGTTCTCCTGAGCTGAATAGAATTTTGCCAAGAATGACTGCCTTCAGGAACCGTTTTCCAATGGGAGAAGAACACAAAGGAGCGAGAAAAGATTCTTGTATCTTACACGTCAGGGTTTTGTGCAAAAACAATGGAGATTTTCTCTAATTAGAGAAATTTATCTGTGAACCCCTAAAGGTTTTGCTCACTATCTCTAGATGAACTGAGTATATAAGATATAACTAAATCTTCTTTATGTAGTCTTAGTATCTTCATTTAGTCAGAATGCTGAAGCATGTGGATGATTCTCTTATGATTGTTCTGCATTTAGTAAAACAAATTCATTGTTAGCTTTGTATCACTCCAACTTTGTTGCCTCTTTTCCACACCAGGCAGTGCAATTAAAACATGATTTATTGCAAGAAGGAAAGAAAAGCAAACTCGCAGCCTTGTTCTTCTCATTCCTTTTCAGTCTGAAGAGGGACTGTCTGGGGAGGAGTCTTTTCTTTAAAGGACATAAAATTATGTCCTTTTCAATCTTTTGATGATGCAGGTGGCCCAACCAAAAAAGCCAAACAGATCCAAAGTGAAATGTGACGAGAACGCCTTTTTCTTTTTCTATTCTCCCTCACCCTTCTTTCGCAAAGTTAAATATTATCTTGTTGCATACCACCTATTCTAGCAAGCCCACCAGATATGTTTACTCTGTGAGATTCAGCAGCACGTCAAGAGAAGGTAAAGGAATTTATTTGATTTCTCCATCCATTTCCAAATAATAAATAGCATAATCACACTTGTGTGAATGCCTTAAATAGTATACAAAGCATGCCATTAATTGTTATAATAAATATATTTATATTTTATCGTGTCTATTCTGCAATAACCAAGGACACAGTATTCTCCTTTATGCACAGACAAACACCATTCAGTACCACACTTCAGCTCACAAAGTACTTCGGATTAAACCAGCCTTCCCCAGCCTAGGCACCCTTCAGATAGGAGAAATTTATCTCTCAGAATTCTCCGCAATGGTGACAATTGCTAAGAATTCTAGATGTTGAACGTATACCTGGAGGCTACCCAAGTTGGGGAATGCTGCATTAGGCTGGCTGTGCAACCTGTGTGCTGCTGTTGTTCAATTATTCAGTCCCTTCCAACTCTTCATAACCCAACAGACGTCAGTTTCTAAAGACTGACTGTCAGGAACTGCTTGTGTTTTCTTCCTTTATTTTATTTTATTTTACAGATATTTGAAAGTGTAACAAAGAAAAAAAGTGCCGAAAAGAATAAAAGAGCAGAACAGTAATAGAAAAGAGTTTTACAAGCTGTATAAAATTGAATAAGAGTAACATTAGATTAGTTCTGCATATAAAGGTTACTTTTTAAATCAATTTAGCACTTTAAAACCATTCTGAAAATCAAATCAATATTCAGTAATTAACAGTCAATGGGATAAAAATCATCATTAAAATAAATAATTAATAGGAATTTCTTTCTAATCTGAGAAAGCCTGTCCTTATTATGATGGACATTTACCACAGAGATGGCAAAATCTAATATTTTAAAGCTTTATGATAAGAGAAACCCAACCTTTCCATGTGGTATAAATTCATGTGCACATTTATAATTCATAAATAGTTTCCAGGTTAAATTAAATTCAGTATTGGACTATTAACTGCTTCTTTGAGTTCTTGCAAGCCCATGCTTGGGTCATCAGTGATAGCATCGTGCCACCTGCTCTTCTGTCAGTCTCTTTTTCATTTGTCTTTGATTTTCCAAGCATCAATGTCTTGCAAGATTTTGAACTGTTTGATGGGCCTATCAGCAACTACTGCAGCTTTGTTACTAGCAATATTTTCTAAAGCCCATTAACCTTCACTTTCCAGAACATCTGGCTGTAGTTTTGTGAACAAACCTTTGTACGTGTACATAGATGTATCTCCTTATCTCTTCTTGCTCTTTTCTAGAACTCAGCAATTAGGTGGGTGCCTTCTTCTCTGTCTCAGTTGCCCTATGTGTGTAACCCTACAGATACTGAATTGTATGGGCATTTATTCCTAGGAATGTGAATGTTAAACTGCATCCTAAGTGAGATATGACTGGTTCCAAGTCACTCAGGGAAACGTTTATCTAAGCAAAGTTCTGAATCGGATTTCATCTGTACAAAACTGTAAATTTCTTCAAACTGGGAGGCAGATAATAATACAATGTAACAACATTTCAGCTTCCAAGATGTTGATATGTGTAGTTGAGTTTCTTACATTTTAACAACAGGTATCAACAAGTAAGGCTGTAGGTGTCAGCCTTACCAGGTAGACCAGAGAGGAAACATGACCAGATGACCTAATTCTACTGTATTGTAAGGCTACATTAACAGAATCTTGCAAATCTGAAAGTATAATTCTCTCTCCGTCTCCTTTACACCCCGAGAAATTAGGGAGAGTCTCTTCTGAGCCTCTTGCCCTGCCCACTATCCAGCTGTGGGCTATGCTGTCTCTTATCGTACCATTCCCTAGGCAATGTCTCTGGGCCCAGTCACCCAAGATCATTCCCACATATCATTGCAGTAGGGGTAAAAGAATGTTCAGAGATGGAACAAGTCTAAAGTGAGCACGTAGATGGTTCTCCTGATGAATAATCCAAAGTCTATTCTGGGGCTTGTCAACATTCTTCTTTATGCAGATCACTATCTTGCCATCAAAAGCTTTTGCAGATGAACACTTAACCTAGCAGTTACCAATGTAATACCTGTGGCACATGTAACATCCCCCTGATAATGTCCATAGGAACCCAAAATGAAATACAAATCAATTTGGGGGAAAAATATAAGCATGAAAACAGCTGAATTTTGTGAGATCATAAAATCTCATGAGTTTTAGTAATTCTGTAAAACTGAATGTAAAAAACACTTGAAAGTATCCTGTACTCCACTAGTTCAGGCTTTGTATTGAGATGAATGACAATCTTTTAATGCAGTTTAAAGCAAACCAGTAAACCTTACCTGATATTTTAACTGGGCTTTGAAAGCTTGGTTGGATTTTATGGACGTTGTCATTTTTTAACACTTGATCTAAAGGAGACCTTTCGAAAAAGGTGAGGACAACTTCAGATCTGGAATACTGGAATAAAATAAGCAAAGAGAATTATAATCACCAGAGGAAAAAAAATAACATTTGAGGCATATTTTACTGGCCAAACTAGAAGCCTTTTGTTCAATACTTGGTACTTGCAGGTAGGACAAGGAAAGATTTCTGCCTGAAACCCTACAGGGTGCAGACCAACTTTCTCAGACTTGATGCCCTTCACACTAACGGGGAATTCTGCAAGTTCTAGTCCCAACAAATTTACAGATTGCATAAAGTTGAAGTGGGTAATAAACTTGACAGAAAGTGGGCAATCCACATATCTGCATACTACATGCAATGGCTAAATTGTGCTACTAAAATTTAGCAGTAAGCTATTGATAAGTGGCTTTTTATTTATTTGTTGTTTTTGGCAGGAAAAAAAAACCAAAATAAGCACTTAAATGTTCATTTAGATTTAATATACCTAGAAAATCGACACCCCACAAACCTCAGGGTAAAAACAGCCAAGACTATTAGAATTCCCAACCAACTCAGTTTAGTGACATCCTTTCCTGACTACCTCATCGCCAAGTAGCACAGTCACATGGTTTTTCGACTAATGACCGTGTCACTTAACAACGGAATTTCTGGTCCCAATTAGCGTCATTAACCAAGGACTAGCTGTATTGGATTATGCCCTGTCATGTGTAGCAGCCTCAACTGTTTAAAATAACATTAGAAACATAAACTCTGAACAACACATGCAGTATTTCTATAATTGGCTCATAATGCTTTCTTGGGTTTCTTCTTTCTAATAGTTCATGTGTACTAAAAAGATCTCCCAGTTCAGGAAGTTATTCCTTCCAGTCTACAGCTGTATGGACTCTGGGAGATTCATTCTAAGGGTATTGTCTAGCCTGTTTGTGCTAAAGAAAAGAAAAGAAAAGAAAAGAAAAGAAAAGAAAAGAAAAGAAAAGAAAAGAAAAGAAAGCAGTTGTAAAAAAGTTTACACTGATAAAACGTAACAGCCAAGCTAGGGGAAAGACAGGCCTTCAGGGCACACTGATTCCTGAGAAGAGGAGTAACATTTCTATTTCCCAAAATCAACCACAACACCTTGGCAAGTGCTCAGTTCTACAGCCTCTTAGAGATACAACAAGGGAATGGCTTCCCTTCCCCCTAAGGATAGGGCTTTAGCTGGGATTCAGATGGGAAGCTGGAAGCATAGGTGTCCCCTGCCCCTGCCTCTCTGCTCCGAGGAACAGGGGCATGTTGGTTGGAACTGGTCCTCTGTGGACCTTCTGGGATGAGAGAAGATAAGAACTGCAGGTGTAGTTGTTAGGTGGGAGAAGAGCCAAAATAGTCCTGCGGGGATTAAGCAGAAAAGAGAAAAGTGCAGGGTGTGTGTATGTGTGGAGGGACCCCGAAGGGCTGGATACCAAGATACCCAGTCTGCCCTCTAGAATGGATGATGATCCTATCTGTTTTCCTACCACTTGTCTCCTAATTTAGACAACACATCTGTGCCCATCACAGATATTAGCCATTTTAGCAGTAATTAACTACTCTTTTCCACATTCAGGATGAAAAATCCTTGAAGGTAACCCTAAACAGAAATGTTTCTGCTATAAGCTTCTCTAAATTTCTCAAAGGAAAAATATTATTAATAGGATGTTCAAGGCTGTGATCCTATCAGTGCTTCCTTGGAGAAACTTCATTAAACTCAAGGACACTCAATGCCCAAATTTATTATATTTAATGAATTGCCCACAGCTTCACTTTCTCACATTCCTTATATGTGCAGGGTAGGCTTTTGGAGGCGGATGTCACACTGTGCAGGAAGGAAAGTTGTTCTCTCCTCTCTCAGCCAGGCCCCCACGCCACAAAAACTGTCTCGCTAGCACAGCTAGGAACATTATTTTAAAAGTTCTATCTGGGATTAATTGGATTTTCTCTGTAATTATCCTTGTTTGGAGGGCAATTCTGAACCATTTCCAAATTACCTACAGATAAACAGGTAATTATTCAAAGAATAATTGAATAGCAGAATCAGGATGTGTGGCTTGGCCAGCTTGGCTCCTCAGAATAGATATTTTGTACAACACGCACCTCGATCGCTTCACTTTGATGGAAATGGCTTCTCTGAAAGCGTAAAAGACATCAGAAAGAGAGTGAGGTTGCTGCTGTGAGGCAACTGCTCTCCTGTGACATCCAGAAATGGGGCATCCATTTGCTTTGCAGGGCTGTATCAAGAGCCTTTCATCTCCCATGTGGTGGGGGAGTAGGGCTGAATCCTCTAGTCACACAACTTGATGCTATAAGGCCAGGAAGTGGTGCGATAGAAATCATTTCACTTTTTTGCTTTTTGATCTTTTCATTCCTGGAAGGGCAGAACAGAGGGAGGATGCCAAGCAAGGGTCCTTCAGGAAGATAGGAGGGAAGACAGAAGAGAAGTCCAAGATGTGAAAACCCTTCTGGGAGGAGAGGTTTGAGATCTCCATCCTACTACCACATGGTTTCAGCAGGGGTCTTCTATAACCTGTAAGGCCCACTTTAGGGTTTACGCTACAATTTTAGTGTTTCCTAGTATTCTAGGCTAAAATACAGCCACTCATGGGTCTCTTCCAATCATGACTGTACAATTCTTAAGACTAGATTAGTGGATATTTTTGAACTTCTTCACCAGTTTTTCATATCTGCCACGTAATAAAAAGGGAACAGTTGGAAAATCAGCATGGACCAAACTTTCACTGAAGTTTAGCATCTCCCCTACTTACCTTCCAAGGCATATTTATAATATTCTTGAGGAGTTTCTCTACCTCGTTCAGCCTGGCTTCTATGTCATGAGACTCTTTAATCGTAATTAACCCTGGGAAAAAAAAGAAGATTTGTAAAGTAGTCTTGTGGGGGAAAGCTAGCATTTTATTTTTAATTATATACATTTCAATCCGTATTTTATGTTCTCAAGATATGAGAACATAATTTCAGTGGGTAAAAATGAATGAGACAAAATAACCCCCATTTACACATATAAAAGACATATGAACAACAAATCTTATCCATATTTTTTAACCTTTACCAAATTATCCACCATTGCTCCTAACAATTAAATGATAGCTTAAAAAGAAAGAAAAAAGGCAGCAAGAAGGAAATTTTAAAACTAGCTGAAGCCTGAGCTTTATATAATACCACAAAAACCACACAGTCGAGCTTGAAGGTTAACCTTTTTCATCTGGATCTGCCTGGGTTACACCTTCATCCTGAACAAAAAGGCCTCCCTCTGTAAACCCCCAGTGCCAGTGTAGAAGAAGGAAAGAGTAATTTAACACTTTCCACCAGTATGGATCTATAGAATATACCTGGTTTGTAGTACACCTGTATTTCATGTTTTTAATTAATGAATGATTGTGTAGAAGGAGCACTGCCTCCTCCCTGTTAATGAGGAACCAGATGAATCAGAGGCCTTGTCCCCTACTGCAACTGACCACAAAACTGTTATACTCTGACAAGCCCAATCTTAACTGGTTTTTTTTCTTCTTTATTTGCTAGTTTCCTTGTGTTTGGCATCTCAGCAGAAGGCAGCACTGGGCTGATGTTGTATCATCTTAGAACCTAGGTTGGTTGGGCCTAGAAAACTACCAAGAAATACCAGGGCTGCAGGCTAGAATGGGAAGTTGAGAAGAAGGCAATGGCAAGCCTACTTCTGTATTCTCACCAAGAAAACAACACGAATGTGTCCATGGAATCATCAGGAGTCAAGACTGACTTTAAGAAAACTTTGTACTTGTATTTGTCAGTTTCAACCGTTTCCAATCCTTCCCCAGAAGTAAGAAAAGTGGTTGTCCAGCAACTAATTAGCTTTAGTTTTTTGATTTTACAGGACCTAGCAGGTGCACAACCATGGTAGCATCTGTTCCCTCCTCTCTAGGTTTATCTCTGTCCTGGTGTCCCCTTACATGTTTCTTGGTTTTACATTATTTTAACTTGGGAGATGCCAAAATGGGCTATGGGAGGGGGCAAACAAGGTAGTCTAGAAAACTCTAGGCAAAGCCTGGAAATCAGATCTGCCAGATTCATGCTGCAGTGCCGTTATTAATGGATGTTTTCCCTACTGGCAGGTAATGTGCTGAAGAAGGATGGCAGCAAAGCCAAAAGAACAATCACCTTACATTTTACAAGTGGCACCCTCACAAATCAGGACATCATCATTCGTGGTGATTTGGAACAGATGCAATAGAAGCAGAGCAAGAATTGGAAAGAGGCATAGCAAATTTTATAGCAGCAATGATTGGGTTGATTCAATGATCAGTAGATAATGCTACAGTGGGGAAAGGCCCATATTCTCACTGCCACAGTATCAGAGTGAAATGCTTTGTATTTACTTCTGGAATCCTCAGCATACTAAACATGGATACCGATGTACCTGCAGAGACATCCCATGACATCCGCCAGTTCCTTGTCATAGAAACATAGAATCATAGATCTTCTAATCCCCTGCCCAGGCAGGAACCCTCCTAGCATGCAATTGCTTACAAACCTCTATTGCAAACCAATTACCAAGCACTGTACGTACCGCAAACCTGGCTATCTCTATTCCAAGAAATCTGTACGTTCAGGTTCATCATGTCTTACTGAAGTCTAGGTGCACTAATCTTGGTCTACTCATCTCATCACTGTCAACAAAACCAAGAAGATTGGTTTGGCATGATCAGTTTTTAGCCCATGCTGGCTTCTAATAATCCTCTTGTTCCTTTCTATGTGCTTGCAAACCTACAGCCTGATTATCTTTTCTAGGATTCTCCCAAATACTGATGTCCAGCGGACTGGTCTGTAGTCTCCACTTTTTTCTTTTTTTAAAGACTGGAACAACTTTAGCTGTTCTCCAATCTTCTGACACTTCTCCTGAACTCCTGGAGTTCTCAAAGAGTACAGTCGGTGGTTCTGATATTATGTCTCCAGTTCCTTTAGCACCCTGGAATGTAATCCACCCAGTCCCAGAGCCTTACACTCATTCAAAGCAGCAAGTGTTCTCCTACCAATTCCTTACCTATTCTGACTGGCATTTCCGTTCTGCCCCACCCACTCCCCAGTGTAGCTTCTGACAGGCTGGACCGCTTTTTTTTTTTTTTTGAAAAAAAGAAGGTACACATTAGGAATTAAGCAGTTCAGCTTTCTCCCAGCTGTGTATCACCATCTCACCATCTTCTTCAACCAGCAGACTGTTCACTTCCTTGATTTTCCTCTTGTCTCACACATACTCAAATAACTTTTTCTTATTTTGGTGTTCACTGCAAGACCTATCTCATTCTGAGACTTAGCCTTCCTGATTGCATCCTTATAGATTAGGCTATTCCCAGACATTCTGCTTGATTCTGCTTGTCCCTTTGTCAAGAACCTTTCTAAAGAATCTTTTAATAAATATATAAATGGGAAACTAGCATGCCGCAAAGTACCATTTTCCAGTATCACTATTTTCCCATGAAAATTCCTTCAGATATGGAATAGAAACAATTTTCTATAGTTAGAAATAAAATGTTGGAAGTGTTCCCATAAAGAAAAATTAAGTTGGGGTGACAGGAACCAGCACAGTGCAGAACAGAATAGAAGGGGAGGAGAGAACAGAGTAACCTCATTATTTTACCTTCTGACAAATAAATATTTTATGATTGGCTACAGCCTCCTTAATTCTCTTTGCTCATCCTGGTTCTGTTCTCTCCTCCCATTCTATTATGTAAAAAATGTTTGGAATTTGTTTGTTCTAAGTATATCTAATATTGTGTATGTGTGTGTGTGTGTGTGCTTATTATTTGATATGTTGTTCTTAATTCAAAATAAAGGTGCCTTGATTTGCTGCTGCCTTGAAGTCAGGGAAAAAGGAAAAAGCTGCCTTGAAGTCAGGGAAAAAGGAAAAAGCAATTGTTTAAATAAATTTCCAACTTTATTTAGAAAATCTCTGACCTTGAGAGGTCTTTCCACTGCAATTTGGTCAGCATCCAATAGAGGGAGCCATGCTTCCACATATAAAGAAGGGCAACGCCGAAGAATGCTCAAACTATCGCACAATTGCACTCATTTCACATGCTAGCAAGGTTATGCTCAAAATCCTA